TCCAGATCCCCATTCTTAGTACTAGTCCCCAAGAGCAGAACTAGGGCTCCTTGGAGAAATGGCTGCTTCTGGGCCAGTGTAGGGAAAATACAGACAAGCCTATGATGTCTTTTGGTGCCAGAAAAGAGGGAAGCATTCAGAAAAGGATGAGGGAATGACAAGGGGACAGGGAGGCAATGACCAGATGCAGGGCAGGAACTTCCGGGCAGAGGGAAGCACGTGCCATAAAACTGGGTCTCTGAAGTCAGAGCTCTCAAGTATTGTCCTAAAGGAATAGAAAAAAAAAGTTAGGAAGAAAAGTTCTCCTGAAAAGCTACCAAGTTTGAAAGTCACTTCTGTCATGAATCATAACAAGGAAGTCCATTATGAAATACACCATATTGTAGAAAGAGAAAACTTGAAGCTTAATTTGACAGTTTATCAGTAATGCTTGAAGTTCCAAATAATAATGAAAAACCATTTAAAAAATCATTACACTTTCAAGTGGTTTGAAGTGTCTATAAAATTCACATTTAAAAATGGCAAAGAGCACACATAATACTTCATGCTGGGAAGTTATTTTGTCTGAAGCTGCACACAGGATCGTAAAATACGCCAGCTTAAAAAAATATCTGAAGAGTACTCTGGAGAAACTCTGCAACAGTCTTTGAAAATGCTGTCTACAGCCAGAGGAAGTTCGTTTACATTCTTGAAGATCAGCTGCGACCTCAAGAAGCTGTTTAATGTACAAGTCACTTGGAATTATTACCTCCAATGAGCTTAAAGCTTTCCTCTATCTTATCAGTCTCTTAGCTTCTACACAAAAGCTGGACACTACAGATGAAGAGGTCATGGACTAAGACAGCAGATTCTGTAATAAAATTCTCAGTTCAAATTCTTCTGCCGCTTATCAGCTGTGTGATGTGTGATCTGAAAAAATTATGCAACCTCTCTGGACACGCATTTCTTTAACTGTGAAGCTGGGATAGTTCAAAAAAGCAACATAACCATCCTTATAAAGATTCAAAAATGCTTAGTACAGTTTCATTACATAATTCAATAAATATCAGCTATTTTAGTAACAGTGTTTTTTGATCAACCTGAAAAATACAGACTGACTTCCATAACCATGGGACCGGCACCTTCAGATTTAGCCAGCCTCAGATTTAAAACTTTTTGGAAAAAAATTGCATCTGTGTTGAACATCAGCAGCCCTTTTTTTTTGTATTCACTAAATGCAGTGTAATGACTATTTGCATAGACTTCATGTTGCGCTGGATATTCTAAGTCACCTAGAGATAAGTATATAGGAGGGTATGTTATAGGCATCTCCACATCAGCCTTACGCACAGGTCAAATGTAGCCTGACCTGTGTTGGAGAACTGTCCTGAGGTCCTCCCTGGAACATGGTAACATGAGCTGTTTTGTGAGGTGCTTACCCAAGGTAGTTCGTCACCCACTTCCCTGTCTTCAGATCTCCCATGAGGCAGTTTTTCATTGGCTTCCCTGGTTATAAGAGGCTTGGGACTTTTAATCTTGCAGCCTCACTTAGGGGCATCTAGAGTCTGGAGCTGACCAGCCCTCCACGGAGCAACACACAGCTCGTGTCATCCTGTGACTGGGGATGGGGCGATCTGCGGCACGCTTGTCCTGCTGAGGGTGTTCTGTCTAGGTGTCCCCTCAAAGTCTTGTGTGCTCATAGGTGGGACTTCTGGGAGTGACTGGATCATGGCGACGTGGTGCTGGATTAGTCCACTGATTGATTCAGCACAGCTGTGGGTATGGATGATGTCTACTGAAGAGGGAAGACCCATCCTGGGTTTGTGGTACCAATCAATATGGCCTGTAGCCTGAATGGAATAAAAAGGGAGAGGAGAAGGACCTCTTGGGCCCTGCCGGCCACACCATGAATTGTTTCTCCTCTGTGTGACCCCTCCTGCCACGCCGCCTTGCCTTGCAGCTAGTTGACTATGGCCTGAAGCCTCTACGAACTGTGAGCCAAAATAAACCCTTTCTCCCTTAACTAGTGAGTGTGCGGTATTTTGTCCCAGCAAGAGAAAGTAACTAAGTAAGTAATAACACCATGTGGCCTTGCTTCTTTCCCAGCCAAACCTATGCCAGAGAGGCAGGTCCAGTCTAGCAGCTGTAGGTGTTGCTACTTAAAGAACACTCAGCTGCTTGGCAGCACGAAGGACCATGAGGAAAATAAGAGGTAATTAATGGAGAGTGACTTTGAGGCTGTTGGAAAGGTCAGGGGAGGGCTCACCAAGGTGCCCTGGGAGCCAGCCGCAGCGGTGGGGGAGGGGGAGGAGGGATGGAGAAGGAGCAGCGGTTACAGAGGCCCTACGCAAGGAGCCGGAGACCGGCAGGCTGGAGGAACCGAGTGGCTGTGGGGGTGAGAACAAGGAGGGTAACTTAGGGATGAGTAACAGAAAGGAGCAGAGGCTGATTTACACATGCGTTTGTAGGCCACAGACCAGTTTGTGTTTCCTTAGGTGTCAAGCGAGTAATATGATCTGGTTTATGTATTTTAAAAGATCCTCCACCCCCGACAAACCCCAATGATAGGAGAAAACTTGAAAATTAAAGATGACCCCAACAAGCGCAGGGTGGAAGCTGAACATGACGGCAAGAGTGGAGGGGGCCCGGGGCAGTCCCAGTGCTCTGGCCAAGGTGCATGCGCAGGCAGGGGGGTGTTCCTCAGCCTTTTACATGCCATGAAACTGACTACTGCTCCTCTCAGCATCTCCCTTCCCCTATTTTATAACCAACTACATCTGATCTGCTGAAAGCTGATTACAGAAATAAAATTATGGCTGAGTGTGGTGGCACATGCCTGGGATCCCAGCACTTGGGAGGCTAAAGCAGAAGGATCTTGAGTTCAAGGCCAGCTTGGCTACATAGCAAGATGCTGCCTGAAAATCAACTCAAATAATTTATGCCCCCCCAAATTAGATTAAGTAAAGATCTGAGGAGTATTCTTATTAAAAAAAAGAAGTATCAGCTTCAGTCCATCCATGGAATTTGTGTTTGGCAGAGGCTATTTCTCACTCGCTGTTAGATGGGTTTCAGATTGGGTTGTGTTAGGCAACCAACTAAAGCATTATACTTGAATACAGACTAAAAGAGTGGTAGTACATTCCTGCAATCCCAACACTCTTGGGAGGCTGAGGCAGAAAGATTACAAGTCCAAGCTCAGGCTGAAAAACTTAGTGACTTAGCAAGAACTTATCTCACAAATTAAAAAAAATTTAAAAGATCTGGGGATGTAGCCCAGTAGGAAGGCTCTGGGTTCAATCTCCAGTAAACACACACACACACACACACACACACACACACACACACGTTTCAGTGAATCAGAAGAGATTTTAGCTTCTTTATGTTGTAGATTTTGCTTTAAATCTTGGCTCTGCCACTTACTAGCCATGCACCTAACTTCTTAAAATACTTACTTTATGGCAGCAACTAACGAGGATGTGCACTGGCTAAGTGCTAGACCACTGTCTGGTTTCCCCTGCACTGTCACAGCTCATTAATCCTCCCAAAGAGCCTGTGAAGCAGACAGCATTACCCCCACTAACCACGTTCCAAGACTAAGTAACCTGCTATCACATATTCAGTGAGTAGGACTGTAACTTGAGAGCGAGGACAGAACTCCTACCTCTTCCTTACAACAATCACATGAGCTCCAACAGCCCTGTGAGTTCCTGCTATTCTCTAGGTACTGAGTAAACGTCAGTGAATGACACAGTGTTTTCCTCCATGAAGCTTACATTGCTTTTCTTTCCTTTCCTCTCCTCTGTCCTTTCTTCCTCTCCCTTTAATCCCACCTCTTTCTCGCTCTTATGCTGCAGTACTAGCAACTGAACCCAGAGAACACTAAGTATATTCTGAGCTACCTTTAAATTTTATTTTGAGACAGTCTCACTGCGTAGCCCAGGCTGGCCTCAAACTTGCAATTCTTATCTCTCAGCCTCCTGAGTAGCTGGGATTACAGGTGTGTGCCACCGTACCCTGCTCTATGGAGCTTACATTCTACCAGGGGTGCAGGTGGGGTGTAGCCAGTCAGCAATGAACACAAACATAAATGATATGGAGTGTTACTAGGTTACACCACTCAAAATTGCCAGCAGTGTTTTTTTAACCTACAAAGACAGTAATTACATATGGTTCGATGCAACAGAAGTTGACAGATAGTACAATTGAAATGGGGGAGGAAGGAGAGTCAGCAGTGGGAGCAGGATGTAGGATGAATAGGTAAGCAGGCGGACCTCAGTGAGCTGCCATTTTGGAGGGAAGAGGGGACACAGGAGCTATTCTAGATACTTTGCACTCATGTGGCTAACATCATCCTCAACCTTACAGGGTTATGAAGATCAATGGGACAACAGAAGTGAAATGTTTTATAAAGTAGGAAGTCCAAGGTTTATACCAAATTATCATGTAAAACTCCTTACTTTGCTGCTGGAAATTAGAGCAAACCTGGAAAGAAAGAACTATAGTGAGATAGCTCACAAAACTGTTACTTGATACCTCACCTGGAACAGAGAAGAAATTAGTTTTGATTTAAAATTTTCTCCTTCTGCCAAAAACCAAAAAGGGTTGTTGTTCTTTGGCCAATAAAGCATTATATACACAAAGAAACTAACAGGACACGTGTAAGCAATCTGTTGAAATATAGCTGAGATTGCAATCTGAACTTAACAGATCTCCAAAAGAAAGCCAGGTTCTTTTTTCTTTCCTGTAAAATGTGGTAAAGCGTATGCACCATGTGTCTGAAATTTAACATCTCTGAAGCAGGTAGGAACTTTGCTAGCTCCGTCAACCCACTGCAGCAGACATTCATTATCTGCTGTGTGTGGTGAAGATGATAATTTAGCTACTAATGCTTAAAACAGGGAAAAGTCAACCCACAGAAAACTACACTAAGTTAATTTTTGGAGAAATGACAGATATGTAGCTTCTTTTAAAGAGGTAAGTCCTTATTTTAAGGACTTTTACACTGAATAATTCAAATGTGGTACTTTTTAAAATTTATTTATTTGCATTTAAAAGAAACCGTTGACAAAGATGAATGGGAAATAATCTTGAACTAGTGGGGAAAAAAAAGAATCAACACTACTGAGATAGATTTTTTCCAATCGAACAAAACCTCATAGATGCTGTCACCAATATCAATGAAAAAACTGACCACTTCTGACTTTCTAAATACACGGTGATATAATGAGCAATAATCACTTCTGTTCTTTCCTGAATATACAAAAATTAAAATACCAATTAAAAAACTAATATTTTTTTCTTTAAATGTTTCTTACAGATACAATTTCAATATTCTTATTTAACAGTGGTATAGTTTATGAGGTTTTTTCCATTCACAAGTTAAGGAAGCCACCCAAAGGGAACTGACAGTCTATAGGCTCACAGTGCAAATAAAAGTTCAGGACTGCAGCAACTGACATTTCTAAAATACAAAATAGATAAAACTCTTAGAAGGTTCATGCAGAAAGCTTAGCTAAGCAGATGGCCACAAAACTAGAACATCTGATAATTCTGCTGGCGATCTCAATGGGACTCCCAGTGTTTCTTGAGTCAACTTGTCCTCTCATCTTAGGCTTTATATTTGGCTTTTCCAGTTTCACTAATGACACAAACATGCTGTAAAATACAAATCCAGAAATTCACATTAGAACAGTGTATTGCAAAGTGAAAGGTTAAAAACAAAATCTTGCATATCTTGGAGAAATAGTATTATGTTGCCAGGGCTCTTATTAAATAAGCAAACGGAAGTCAGGCATGGTGTTGCACGCCTGCAATCCCAGCACTTGGGAGGCTGAGGTAGGAGACCTGTTTTGAGTTTAAGGCCAGCCTGCGCTACAAAGTGAGATCAAGACCAGCCTGAACTGCTTAGTGAGACCCTGCCTCAAAAAGACAAAAGCAAATAAATAAATAAATAAATAAGCAAGCAAAGGTACTAATTAAAGCTCGTGTCTTGAAGAAAAACCAGTAGTTTGTCCTATCAGTTTGATTTGTTTGTCTCACACAAAAAGCTATACTGAAAAACAAAGTAGGGAATTTTAGGTATGTCAAAATAGGGTCCAGTAGTAAGTGGGAAAGAAACCCTGCTTTAGCTAGTGCTGTTGATGGAGTCTTCTAAATCTTCCTCAACCATGTTCATAAACACACCCATGGGACTCCTGTCTCCAGAGTAGGAGGCAAGTATTTTGAAGGAGAGTAAATTAAAAGACTTGAACTTGATCATTTATTTCTCCCTCAGGACTACATTTATCATTTAAAATAATAATGGGACACAGTTACACATTAAAGCTGTTCAACTATTTCAGCCAGCAAGCAGTGTCCCCCCAGCCTGGCCAAGTTCCAGTTCTAAGGACATCTGTACTTGACTACAGTTTTATGTGACTAATGGCAATCATCAGTCTGTTCAAATTATGAGGTGCTGGAAGGAAAAAAAACAATTCTTCTCTTCCCTAAATTTTAATGTGTGTTTTGAAAAATGAGAGTGAGAAAAAGAAGCGTTACTTACATTCAAATCCCGGAAGTATTCATTATAGTCAAGGGCATATCCAACAACAAACTTGTCTGGAATTTCAAATCCAACAACTGAAAACAATCACAATTCATCATTTAGATACAGAAAACATTACTTTCAAATCTAATACTTGCAAATGTGCCTTCTCTAAAAAATATGCTCTAGAGTACTCTAAGCCATTTCACATAAAAACTTTTTTAGGTGAAAGATGGTTAAATGATTGACAAAAAGTAATCCACTTACAGTCTGGCCTATATCCAACACTTCGAGGGGTCCTTTTCACCAGCAAGCTGTTAATTACAAAGTGTGACATGTGACATATGGAAAGACTACAGGGCATTACTATAGAGCACACTGATGTTCCTAAATAGTGTTTCGTCTGCATTTAGCATGCCATACACGCCCAGAAGAAGACATGAAATGGAGAGCTAAATCATGCTGATCACTGGGAAGGGGCAGCAGTGAGTTCACAGCATGAACAAAACCCTCGGTCTCTACCCAGAAGCTGATGCGTGGTTCTGGGAGCTGCACCCTCACCACCTCTGCGTATCGCTAAGGGCAGCTAATTGGGAGGATGAGTGGGTGGGAAGTGCACTGATGGAAAGGGGCGCTTGGCCCTAAAGTCCTGGAAATACAGTCCCCAAACTGCAAAGGATATGGGAGAGGTAAGGATCATCTTTCACCAAGGCTTTTAATATACAGTTTACAAAGAAGATGTTTAGGCTACAAAACAGTGTGCTGAAGGAAGCAACTTTTATTTTTGGTACCGGAAATCAAACTCAGGACCTTGCACTTGCCAGGCAGGCAGGCGCTTGTGCCACTGAGCTATATCACTGGCCCAACTTTTTTTTTTTGAGGGGGACAAATCCTAGGGATGAGCCCAGAGTCTTGTTCTTACTAAGTACACACTACCACTGACCTACACCAGCAGCCTAGAATTTTTAATTAAATTTTCAATCGTTTGGCTCTTGTTGATAATGTAACTTTGTTCTTTCAATTGTTCACACTGCTATCATTATTGGGTATTTACAGAAATGGCTAATTTGCATATGTGACTTGATGTAATTTACATAAATAAATAGAAACAACTCAATGAAGTCAAATAAGCAGAATGGCTGGGTTGAATAGAATTTCTAATTTTAGCTTTTTGAGGACTCTCCACACACATTTCCACATTGTTCCTACTAGTTTATATTCCCATAACGTGTAAGGGCTTTTTTTTCTGCATTTTTTTTTTTTTTTTTTACTTCTTGAGGATAGGCATTCTTTTTGGAGCAAGATGGAATCTCAGGCTGAGCATGGTGGTGCACACTTGTAATCCCAGGACTTGGGAGACTGAGGCAAGAGGATTGACATGAGCTCAAGGCCAGCCTAGACTACACAGTGAGTTCAAAGCCAGCCTGAATTATGTATCGAGACTGTCTCAAAAAACGAAAGGAATCTCAATGTGACTCTAGTTTGCATTTCTCTGATGGTTAGAGTTGGATAAGCTGGATGGAATGGCACATGCCTATTATCTCAGCACTTGGGAGGATCGACATGAGTTTGACGTTAGCCTGCACTACAAAGCAAGACCCTGTCTCAAAAAGAGAAGTTGGATATTTTTTCATGTATTCATTGGCCATTTATACTTCTTCGGAGAAGTGTCTATTCATTTCAGTTGCCCAGTTTTCTTTGACTGTGTCTTCTATATTGAGAGGTTTAATTTTCTTTGAGTTCTTTGTATGTTTCAGATATTAATCCTCTGAGGAGTAGCTGGTAAAAAATGTTTTCCCATCTGTAAATTGTTTCTTCACTCTGCTCGTTGTTTTCTTTGCTATGTAGAACCTTTTTAAAAATTTAAAAAAATTTTTTTTTGGTTTTTCTCCGGTACTGGGAACTGAACTCACGACCTTGCGCTTGCCAGGCAGGCGCTTTGCCGCTGAGCTAAATCCCCAGCCGCTAGAACCTTTTTTTTAGAGACAGGGTCTCACTATGTAGTTCAGTCTGTCCTTGAACTATGTAGCTCAGGCTGGCCTCAAACTCACGGCACTCCAGAGTGCTAGGATTATAGGTGTGTGCCACCACACCCAGCATATGCAGCTTTGTAACTTGAAAAACAAAGTTGGAAAAAAAGACATACACACACACACACACACACACACAGGTCCCTATTGTCCTTCATTCACTTTCTTCCAATGATAACACCTTGTTTAACTGTAAGAGACTATCACAACGAGAACATGGACATTGGTAAGTGAACTAATCACGTCCAGATTCCACTACTTTTACTGGAACCCATCTGCTTATTTGTTGCGAAATTTTATCACATGTGGATGTATGTAAGTCCTATAACAATCAATATACTTTGCATCATACAAGGCTCTCTCTCTTGTAACCCCTAGCCCCTGGGAACCACTAATCTGTTCTCAATTTCTGTAACTATCATTTTAAGAAGGCAGCGTAAGTGGAATCATATGGTATGCAACTTTTGGATATCATCTCTTATTGGCACAATTCCTTGATATTCATCTGGCTGCTGTGTCTATCAACAGTTATTTCCTTTTTATTGCTGAGTATGATGGTATCAGCGTATCACAGTTTCACTGAACCGCGGAACCTTTGGAAGGACAGTGTAGTTGCTTTTGGCTTTGGGCTATCACCAATGAAGCTGCCGTGAACGTTCCTTTACAGGTTTTTGTATGAACGTGACTTTTCACTTCTCTGGGATAAATATTCAGTAGTACAACTTTTGGGGTCTTAAGAAAGTTTCATGTTTAGTTTTAGGGTTTTTTTTTTTTTGGTACCGGGAATTGAATTCAGGGCCTCACGCTTGCCAGGTAGGTGCTATGACATGTTTAGTTTTTAAAGAAACTGCTAAACTATTTTCCCAGAGTGACCATTCCATCTTACATTCCCATCAGTTAATAGGTTTAAATTATTTTTAAACAAAAAACAAGTTTTACTGAGGAAACATCAGTATTGGATGTTCTAAATTCGAATATAAAATCAAGTGCTGGATGTAATTACTGATTTAAGGGTTTACATTGACAGTTGCCAATAGGTAGAGCTGAGGAAGCATTTGGTCTAAAAAGGCAAAGTAAAAATATTTAGATAAGGCTGAGCCTTAAGGCCTCCGTGAAGGAGAACTTTAAAATTTCAGTGTTAATAGGGAGTATCCGAGGGATTAAAAATTCAGATTCTTGCTGGGCATGGTGGCACACACCTGTAATCCCAGCACTTGGGAGGCTGAGGCAGCAGGATTGCTGTGAGTTCCAACTCAGCCTGGGTTACACAATGAGTTCAAGCCTGAACTACATGGCAAGACCCGATGTCAAAAAGAAAACAAATTCAGATTCTAAAGATCCACCTTCTCCACATAAAGAAACATGGCCACAGTAAGCAAGAGGAATTTATTAGGACTAATAAAAGAAACACAACTCACATAAAAAATAAAATATGATGTTGACCTATCATATTGGCAAATTATGGGACGAAGATCTCATACACTGCTATTTGGAACACAAATTGCTCTAAACTTTTAGAAAGACACTTTAGCAGTAATTTCAAAAGATGTTGAATCCTATAAGCTTTAATTTTATAACTCTGAGCGGCTTTTTAATTTTTAAGTTAAGTTTGAGTGAGGGGAAGATGAGAGCAGGTAGCAGAAGGAAGTAGACACGATCAGCGCATGGAATAGATATGTACAGAAATGCCACAGGGAAACCCATGACTGCACATTACTATGTGTTAATAGCTAATCATAATAATAAAAAATAGAAAAAGGTTAGTCAGTCTAAACGGAATAAAAATGAGCTTTATACTTACTCCTTTTATACATAAAGCCCAAATACACATGAGACTTAAGCAGATATGTAATACCTGTGACATTCAAATTTGATGGTAGGGAGATTAGGGGAGAAGGTCAAGAACACTGATGAGGCCAACTATATTACTAAGCAATGACCTGAGTATTCTTTGAGCACATCAGGTCTCTAGCAACACAAGATGTCTCCGACATGCACCTGCACCAGCTAGGAAAAAAGCTTGGAAGGACACACTGCTGACATATGACTCATTCATTAGTAGGCTGATTCTGATTTCAAAAACACTCAACAGATACCTTGATCCTTCAGAATGGATTATAAAAACCAGTGAATCATTCAGGGAAAAAAGAGAGATCACTACCTGACCCCTTCACAAAAATCACATATTGGTGAAAGACTTAAAAATAATAAAAAATGAAACAAAATTGTAAAACAAAACAAAAAACCCTTCACCAACCAACCAACAAAAAGCCAGGGATGTTAATTCTAACAAAAATGTAAGGCAATAAAAGCATAAACTAGAAAGAAAAACAAAAGCATTAACTGAGCCAAGCTCCCTAGACTCAAATCTCATCTCTATAGCTTAGTGGTGCTGTGTCACGAGGGTATTCCCTACGCCTCTGCCATCCTTATCCGTAAAGTAGGAGTACTGCTGCTACCCTAGAGTTGTTGGAGTGTGAAACTCGAATTAGGCACAGACTCAGGAGAATTGTGAAAGCAAAAGCCAAATGGCACACGTACGGCCAAGAGGTAAGTCTGGCTTAGAAAAAGGAAGCGGACACTGCAAAATTTTAATGTGGGCACAAAACAAGATGCAGTATACATCACTCAATTCCAGAAGCTTCAGATCTTCAGGGCGCGCCACTTTGTACCATTTCCTTACTCCCTGTGGAAGGTCTTAACTTTGCAGGAAAGTTCCAAATCTTCTACGTGCTACTTACGACAAGGGGGTATAATTAGCATGCTGAAAAATCTAATGTAAATAACATAGTTAGCCTTCGGTATCCAAGGGTTCCAGAGCTACTAAGAGTACTCAACTAAGAGTGTACTGAAAATACTCAGAAAAAAACTGTGTCTGTATAGACATGTATTGAGTGAACATATACAGATTTTCCCTTTGTCGTTATTCCCTAAATAACACAGCATCATAACTATTTACATACAACATTTGTATTGTATTAGGTATGATAAGTAATCTAGAGATGATTTAAAGTATAAAAGAAGATGTGCACAGGTTCTATGCAAATCCTATGCCATTTAATATAAGCAACCTGAGAATCTATAGATTTTGGTATCTGAGGGTCCTGGATTCATTCCTGTTTATACTAAGTGACAATTGTTTTAGGCAAGGAGGTGACTGTGATGAATGGCTTTATTCACACAAAACAAATTTATTTTCCCAAGATATTTTCTGAGTCTTACTTGAGATGACATTATTTTTGAAGATAAAAATGACAGCTGAAGGCATTTATCCTTACAAGGAGTCAATCACTTAATTCTCCAAATGAAGAAAATGTTCCATTTCAAAATGTCATACATACCTTGCAACCTTGACCATCTTTGGATTATACTGCTTAACCAAGGAAAGCAATGTTTGCATTGTTTTGCCAGTGTCAATTATATCCTTTAAAAAAAAAAAGACAAGGCATTTAAATGGTAAATAAAGCCAGCATAGTTTTAAATTCAGAGTGGCTAATCAAATACACAATACCAGAGCCTCAATGTTCTAGTATTTCTCCATGGTATAATACCATTTTTTTCAATGCAATAATTTTCATCAAAATTCATACACTGAGATATTTTAGAATTTGTAACTTATCTGGCCCTCAGCAAGCACTGGAGATGCCAGTTGCTAGTACTGGATTTCATAGGCATAAAGAAGTCAATGACAACAAACTAAAAATATGTATGCATGTATTTTATACGTATGTGCATTTCAATAAAAAGTTATGATGCTGTCCTTCTATATCAAAGGTACTTTAGATTATAAATCCAAGATAGAGATTCTTCTCTTCCCAATTCTCAGTTAATAAACCATTCTTTGAGGGCTGGGGATTTAGCTCAGCAGCACAGCGCCTGCCTGGCAAGCGCAAGGTCGTGAGTGCGGTTCCCGGTACCGGCAAAAACCAAAACCAAAAACAACAAAAAAAAAACCAAAGCAACAATAAACCATTCTTTGAGAACCACTGCTTTGTAATATCTTTAAAAGCATCCCAATTAACAAAGGATAAAATGATTTTTGCATTGAAGTGAATCTTAGGTACCCAGTCAAAAATAGGATACTGTTTAAAACAAACCCTTAAACACAACCTTAATGCTTTTCCCTGAAAGTACTCCAAAAGTGGCCTAAAGCAGTGTGAAGCATAAGCAACTTCAGGACTGGAGAACTGTGAATAATGCAGTTTTCTTGACTGTGGTAGCCAGAATTTTGATGGCTCCTGGTCTACACAACCAAACCATCTCTACCATTTTGGCTATGAGTGGAATCTGTGCAAATGGTGGTACAGTCATTTCAATTAGACTGTTATATAGAATAACTGGCAGATTGGAGATTTCCCTGATAGTTTTGAAGAAGTCAAATATCATGTTGTGACAAGACCATGGGTTAGGATATGAGGATGGCCTTTAGCAGCTCAGAGCACCCCTGGCCAGCAGCAGGAGAAAATGGTCCCTCAGTCCTGCAATTAAAGGAATTGGAAGAGTATGAGCCATAGATGAGCAGTATCTTGATTCAGCCTCTTAAGACCCTGAGCCTCCAGAGGATCCAGCTAACCTGTTCTTGGGAAGTTTAAAAATCATGCATGAGAATGCATATATCAACTTTCAGGATAGCTGTCACACCTTTGGGAAGGAAGGGTAAGTGAAGAAATGGAGTGTAGCTCTATTATGTTTAATTTTTTCAAAATTTTGAGCAGGGGATTTAGCTCAGTGCCACAGCACCTGCCTGGCAAGCCTGAGGTCCTGAGTTTGATTCCCAGTACCCACCCCAACAACAAAAAAAAATATTTGAAGCAAATACAGCAAAATGTTAATATTTTATGGTTGGTGAACATACCCTTTCCTGAGTTCAAATGTTTAATAATTAGTATTAAGAATAAAAAGATCCAAGTGAAATGAAGAGGGAAGTGGGACAGAAGCCGGCTTTGTGCAGAAGACTTCTGAGCTAGTTGTTAAGGATTTAAAAGTGACATAGAAATGAGGGGAATAAAAGATGTTTCATGCCAGTCCTGGTGGCACATACCCATAATCCAAGCACTCTTGGTTCTGGAAGGCTGAGGAAAGAGGGTCACAAGTTCAAACCCAGCATGGGTAACTTGTAGTTCGGTGAGAAGGCCCTCAATTCAATCTCCAGTACAGTCAACCAGTTAATGGTAGAACATGTGAGGTACAAGCAATAATAAGGTGCAAGCAATGAAAACAACCTAACTGCCTATCAACTCGAGAATGGAGGAAAGCGCAGATATTATTATTATCATCATCATCATATTATTACTACTACTGCTACTACTCAGTGATGAAAAAGAATGAGCAGTGATACAGTCCACAACAGGGAAGAACCCTGAAAACATTGATAAACTGCTTAACCTCTCTGTGCTTGTCTCTTTAGCACTTAGAATACTACATGGCAAAGTGAGCACTGGAAAAAGCTGGTTACTATTACATATAAAATAATTTAGGACATAATAGCAAAAGTATATAAATTATATGCATATATATCTATATAAAACTTACATACTTTTAAAAGTATAGATTATATACATTTGTATGTACCAAAAGTGGCATAAAACAAAATTTAAGCAAGACATCAGATTATACATATGCTTAGAGAAAAAGATTTATAACCAAAAAAACTTTAGGAAATACTCCAAAATTTTTCCAGTATCAGTAAAAATGAATCACTATATAGCATATACTCAACACAGGCCTACCATTAAAACTGATAAAAAAGAATTTCTCTCTCTAGCTTACCTTTAGGATTACATACACAAAATAGAAAAGCATAAGCACTACACTAAAAGCAAATGCAGAACTTACCTCAACAATCAAGACATTCTAGAAGAAAAAGAGGAATGCAAATTAGTATGGTAAATTAGACAGTATGCCCAGTTACAGGTGAAACTGCATCACAACAAAATCCAAGGAAACCCAAATTCTTCTTTTTAAATACTGTACTATATCAAACTTCTCTTGAAACAACTGAGCCATCTGTTGGGATTTGGAAATCTTTAATCCTGAAATTTTCATTGATAAAATTTGACCCATGTGTTGTTTTATAAAAGCTTTCATTACTTAATACAAGGTCTTGGGTGAAACATGAAATTTCTCTGGGCCTCAGATTACCACATGTAAAACGAGAAACTCAAACTAGTTGGTCTCTGACACTAACATTCTAAGAACTCCAATTTGTATGGTAACTCCAAAATCATGCATTTAACTTACCATATAGAATTCAATTCAAAACTCATTTTCCCATTAGGCTAAAACTATACAGATGTGTCCATATTTTTGGAGTACACTCAAAAATGATACCAATACTTCCTCTCACCACAAATCCTTACCCCACTTTCTATATGTTAGGATATTATAGCTGGAAGAGTCCTAAGAGAAAATACCAGCTAAGAATTACCCACTAAAGTAGACATGGGTTTTACCTGTTCTACTAGCGACAGGAATGAGGCAGTATTTCACATACTGGTTATAATCACTGCCACAAGAAGATTTGTGCTACATTGCTTATTCACAGTTCTCATATATATAGTGCCATAAAAATATACCATCAGACTTTTATTAATGTTCTATATATCCTTCTAAGTTAGTGGTTACCAAAATAGGAATACAACATTCACTGGGTTGCATGAAAGATTAAAAACATTTTTAAACTTCTTCTATATCACCTATAGTTCTATATGTATTTTATAACATATATAACATCACAATTCACATATAATTTACAAGTACACACACTAAGAGTGATTGCTTGAATTTATTGATTTGGCATGCAAGTAAAAATTTGGAGACTCACGCTCCAGGTATTAAACGTAAACTTATAACCAAGTAAAGCTTCAACATTCCATGCCTGAAAGCAGATTATCACTGGAGATAAAGTCTCTCTCAAGCCTGGGTAGGTCCAAGCGCAGAACAAAGTAAGGTTAGCCCATAGATTTTGGCACGCAATTTTCACTACCTTTCTCACTCTCATGCATCCTCAGTGAAGCAGCTTCTAGAGACAACTGTAGCCTATTGGCCACCTATTCTAGGCAGGAAAAAATTACTTTAATATTTAAGGTGAAGCTCAGCCTAAGAGAGAATAAAACAAAAATTGGAGCAATCCAAAGGCACAGAAATAATAATCTCCATTTTTATGAGATAGTAAATTCTAATTAAGTTGCAAATACACTAATACAATGAAAAAAAGTCCTCACTGTTCATATCAATCCCAGTATTGTGCAAGGCATATGGACAGTGAAGTTAAGATATTTCTTAGTTCAAACTGTGGCTCTGTCACTTAAATTATGACTTTGAATTTCAATATTCTTCACTACAGAAAGGGAGTAATGCATCCTGGAATGGTTTATATTTTAAATGTCCCCCAAAGCCTCATATGTCCCACCTGCTTCTGGGAATGGTTACATCATTCATGTGTGATACTAGATTAAAGGTGTGATAACTGGATTAGTTCACTGGTTGGTTTAGCATAGTTGTGAGTGTGGATAATGGGGAGGCCAATCCTTGATGTGGGTGGCACCAATCAAAAGTCTTATAGTCTAGATGGGATAAAAGGGAAAGGGAGGTTTGCTGCTTTCTGCCTCCTCTGCCACATTGCCCTGGCTTGGAGCCAGCTGACTATGGACTGAAACTGCTACAAACTGTGAGCAAAAATAAATCTTTCCTCCTTTAACTTCTACGTGTTGGGTATTTTGTCCCAACAATCAAAAAGTAACTAAGACACTTCCTTCATAGGGCAGCCATGAGGATTAAATGAAATAACAAATATATTAATACAGCAGGGAGATGCTTACCTGCTTAATAGCTTACCCCACGTGTCACTCAGCCAGTGTGTCTATCCCATCCAACTGATTATCCCATCCAACATTTCTACCATTCAGTTCTTATTTGCTGAGATACACTCATGTTTGTTTGTTTTATCAACTAAGTTTTGCATACTTTTTTATTTAGAACATTGTGTTCACCTGTGATGTTGTTTCTAGTGAAATCTAGTAAGTTCTGGTTTTTTACTAATTCATGTTTATTTGTAAAAAATTATCTGTAATTTTGTGCTATAATCTATAAAGATTCTTGTAAGTACATTAGATACAACATTTATACTTCTCCAAAACTCAGCGATATTCCTTTACAATACAAAATGGACACACATGGGACACTGAGACTGAATAGGAAGGAAGGGCCAAAAGATCTTCAAAAGAAAAAGCTGAAAAGGGAGAAATGCTAGCATATCAGAGAGAAAAAGTCTGTGTTATGAAATGAAAAGACAAAGAAAGATGTCCTTATTTTCAGCTATTCATAATACAGAAATGATAGAACTTGAAAGAAGAAATGAAACTGAAAACCTTCCAATAGTGGTCAATGATTATAGTAATTCTACGGGTGGTGCTGACGGAGGTGACCAACACCTAATGAGCTATCCTATAATCAAAAATTGAGGGAAAAATATTATCATGAAATAATTATGTACCTTCTGGACCAAATAATATGGAACTTGTTTACTTTTTTGCAACAAGGGGGTTCAAAAAGTCATTTATAAAGACCAAATAATTGAAAAATATGGGATAGTGAAATACCAACCTGGACGTCTACCGCTGACGTCTTTATCATTACGTTTAGTGGGGAGACATTTTACTGAAATTATGCCACCCACAGAAAAAAAAAGAAAGGCCAACACGACAGGGTAAAGTGTGTTGTTCAATGAAAGACAATAATGCAAAAGAATCTGGAAAGAAACCAGATACTACTGTCCAGACTGTAACACTGCACTGTGTATCAAATGTTTTCAGATATACCATATACAGAAAAATTATTTCATTAATTTTTTTGTGGTGCTGGAATTGCACCCAGGGCCTTGTGCAAGCTAGACAAGAGTTCCACCACTGAGCCACACTCCTAGCCCTATTTAATTAATTTGTAAAGTTGTTGTTTTCATATGTTGTTTTTAAATAATGAAAAAGGTAATTTTTGGTCACCCTATATTTAAATAATTGGACCGGTAAGTTAAGGAGCTAATTCCCCACCTTTTCTCATTCACAACTAATGTGCCACTTCAAAACACACAATATAAATCTTTAGCATAACCATAACTTAATATAATCCATCAGTGGACTGCTGTTCCACGTACTATGCGTGTTTTTCTCAAAATTTCCTCTGCCCTAGCTAGGTGATCTGAAGGATCCATATTCTCACGAGTACCTGTGGCTCACTGTTGTAGTGATTGGCACAATGGGACCAGAGAAACTGATTTCTAGTCTTGGCTCTAGCAACTAGTTAGTTACACAATCTTGAATAAGTCAGACTACAGACTTATTACTGTAAGACAGTTAATCCAAGTTAAAGTCTATAGAAATTAAACATTTGTCCAATATAAAATTCTAGTAGAGTATGATTCTACCACTGGTTTCTTCCTGGGCGTGGTGGCACACACCTGTAATTGCAGCACTCAGTAGGCTGATGCAGGAAGGTCACCCAGAGTTCGAGGGCAACCTGGGCTCCATAGTGAGTTGAAAGCCAGCCTGAACTGTGAAGCAAGACTCTCAATCAATCAATAAAGTCCAGCATGGTGTCACATACCTATAATCCCAGCACTCCGGGAGACTGAAGCAGTAGGACTGGAACTTAGCCTGGGCAATTTAGCAACTTAGTGAGACCCTGTCTCTAAATAAAGCCAGGACTGGGGATGGAGCTCAGGGTGAAGGCCCTGGGGTCAATCCCTAGTACTGGGGGGGGGGGAGCAGGGAAAACAGACTTGTTACCATTATTGAGAGTTTAATTTATGTCAGGTACTTTATGTCCCTACTTAATAAATGAAAATAATACGGCTCAGAAGTCAAACGACTTTCCTAAAGTCATAAATACAGGCAAGTGGGAGACAAGGGATTTGAACAAAGGTGTGTACTCAGGATCCAAACCCCATATTCTCAAGCACTAAATGGAGAAAGAAAGGAGAAAATATTCATAGCCATGTTTCTGCACATACGTAAATTTCCCCCCAAAAAAGAGAAAATGAAGTAGTTTTAAATAACCCCATAATCTCACCAGCAAGAATAAGTTCACTCATTTATATTTCCTGATTTTCCACAATAAATGTTCTCTACTGTGACCAGCATTAAAGAAGTTATTTTAGAAACAGAAACCTGTTCATAAGATCACAGAGCAACAGAGTGGGATCCAGTTATTAGCTGGAAAAGGCAAGGTCAAACTAAATCACAGAAGGCTTTGAAGGCTAAGCCTCTTCCACCACTGAAAACTGATTATATGAGTAAGGGCTTCAAATGGCCTCTAAATATGGACAAAACATGCTGAAAGGGAAGAAAAGCTATAGAATGATAGATAGAAAGAATCAAGATTACAATTTCTTCTTCAGCACTTTCAGAAGATGTTGAGGTCAACACTGGGTTGGCATGACCCTGGGATGGGCTCAGAGAATTTCATACAAGGGTTTTATGTCAAAGTTTTCTTGCAACACTCAGTCAAGTAAGCAGTGAGAATTAAAATCTAAAAGCCAAGGCAGGAGTCATGGTACACACCAGTAAACCAGCACTCTGGGAGGCTAAGACAGGAGAACTGTTAAATTTGAGCTCAGCCTGGCCAACTTAATAAGACTTTGTCTCAAAACAAAACAAAAAAATTTAAAAGGGCTGGGTATGCAGCTCAGTGCAAAGGTCCTAGGTTCACCCTTAGTACTGAAAAAAAAAAATCTTCCCTTATCTATAAAATGGGGACATAATCTCTCTTACAGGATTGTTGCAAAAATTTTACGAGATTTATGCCTTTGTACTTGGCATAGTATCTACAAGTAAACAGTAACTAGCAGCTTCCAAAAAAAATCAGCATACCATCATTTATCACTGATTATTCAGAGAATTTTCAACGTGTCAAAAAGTGCTTGCTATTCAGGGGTTAGGGATGTAGCTCAGTAGTACAGTGTCATTCTTGAAACCCTGGGTTTGATCTCCAGCACCACACACATACACAAAAGAATAATGTTCAAATATCTAAATATCTCTATTATTTTCAGTTAACACGACCATAATGACCAAAGGATCAAAGAAATCAAAAGGGAAATTTAAAAATCTCGAGAGACAAACAATGGAAGTGCAACATAACAAAAAATTACAAGAATTTTTATGTATTAAGAAAACTGAGATTTCCTAAAATAGTGTATTTTGAATATATTTATTTAGTGTATTCATTTACCATATATTGTTTTAAGAGCTCTACATGTATTGTGTCACTTAAATCTCAACTCTGAGGTGCCTGCTATAGTTACCCTTATACTGCTTGCTTTTGGGTCACAGGCGTTAAATAACCCATGCAACATCATTGGATTAGGAGATGCTGAGCAAAGCTTCGAAGCAAAACTGTCAGACTCTAGAACCCACACTTTCAGCCACTCTGCTCTACTACTTCTCTATCTTTTAAGAAACTATGTGTATGCTTAAAGAGAAAGCTGCCTTTCCCCCAATTTGTATTTTTTGAAGGATTCCAAATTAGATTCCGATATATACAGAGAGCAGTACTAGGTCCTAGACCATCCAGCTTTTCTTTTCCAGCTTTTTAAGTTTAACAGATTCTACTGTCTTTTGGCTACACAAGGGGCAGGGGATGTAGCTCAGTGGCACAAGTGCCTGCCTGGCAAGCACAAGGTCCTGAGTTCAATTCCTGGTACCAAATAAAAGTGTGTGGCTACACAACCTAGGGAAAGATAATTAACCTACATTGCTTTCAAGGGTTAAATAACCCTTGGTTACTGATGCTATGTAAGTAAGCTGCCTTAATGATTGACTGACTCTTGGTATAATGTGTTCTGTTTTTCCCCTTCAGGATACATACACCTTTCCCACTCTGGGTGTGGTGATACACACCTGTAATCCCAGCACTTGGGAGGCTGAGGCAGGAGGATCCAGGAGGATCGTTGCAAATTTGAGACCAGCCTGTGCTACAAAGTGACTTCAAGGCCAGCTCGAACTGCATAGGTAAATCCTGTCTCAAAAAGACAAAAAAAAAGCCATACATACCTTTCCAGTTAAAGTTGAGAGATCATCTCCACCAATTACTTTTATGTCCCCTGTTGACTGGTCATTCTAGTTTGAGGGAAAAAAAAGCACTGTGTATATATATACATCTCCACACTTATATACACATACTTCAAGTTATCAAATGGGAACTAAAAGGTTTAAGAAGTTAGCTAACTAATGTCCACAGCATTATGACATTCTAAATGATATGAATTATGTTTCCAGAAATGAATGACCACGTAACTTTCAAGTAGAGATTAGTAAAAATTAATTGGCCATTACTGATCTGATGTTTTTAAGGGTCCTAAAAATAGGGTGCAGCCATTTTTGAGTGCACAGTATTAACAGCAGCCCATCAGCAGTTAGAGTCACTTCTGAACCACAAGGGAAGTTATCAGCGTGACAGGCATCTGGTTCTGCCCTGTGCCATTCCCACATCAAGCAAGTCACAGGGGCTGGTCAATATCATATCTAACCCCAAGGGTACGCCCCATCAAAAGTCTAGAATCAAGGCTGGGGATGTGGCTAAATAAATGGCAGAATGTTTGCATACTATATGCAAGGTCCTGGGTTCAATCCCCAGAAGCAGAAAGAAATAGGGTAACCCTGGCCCAGATCCTCTTCAACAGGGCAGACCTGGGCCTGGGAAACCAGGTCTGTGTACAGTCCTTCAGGGCATACCTCTTAGGCTCTCACTGCTCCTATTACAGAATCTAGTAGAAACCCTTACAGGAGTTTCAAAGGGGAATGTTCATTATCCTCTGCAGTTGGTAGTAATAACTGTAACTTGGATGTGCTGGATTTAAAACAGAAAATGGGATAAAAATTCAGGTAAATCAAAGAGCTCTTGCCCTGCCAGAGAGCAAACCAAACCATAAAGTTATAGTAATTACAATGGAATGGTGTTGGCACAGTAATTGACAAAGGAGAGCCCAGAAACAGAGCAGAAACATGAGGATTTAGTATATGATAAGGATGGTATTTTGAGTCAGTAAGGACAAGATGAATTATTCAATAAATGGTGTTTGGTCAACTATTTACCCATTTGGGAAAAATAAAGTATGGTCCCTACCTCACAGCATGCACAAAATAAATTCCAGATGGATTAAAATCTAAATATAAAAAATAAAGCCATAAGCAGACTTGAAGAAAATAAAGGATATTTTTTTCATACTCGTGGAAAGGGTAAAAACTTAGGCATGATATGAAGCTTAACTAAAAAGAACGGTAACAAATACTCCTAAAATACACACTGGACTCCCAAGTAAGAACCCATAGGAAAATGGAGAACAAGCACAAATAGACAATTTATAGAACAAAGTCCTTAATTTAGAAAATGATACTATCTGAGAAACAGGCTACAGCACGGTTCTACTGTCCACCCACCCAGACTTGCATAATTGAGCCTGATGAAATGTTGAAGGGAAACAGGCGCTCTTATTGCTGAGCTCATAAATTGGCACAACCTCTTTTGAAAAAGACATAGTAATACTTAAGGAGCCACTGTAAATATGCGTGCCAGTTTGGCCCAGAAATCCTACTTACAGGGTATGATGCTACAAAAACTCAATTTGCAAAGGTACATGCAAGGACGTTCACTAATCGTTCACTGAAAAGAACCGACATGTCTATGGACAGGAAACTATATAAATTCATGAAATTAATCTACACACAAGTAATACTACAAAGCTATTAAAAAGACTATTAATCTAATATACACTGACATGGAACAATGCTAATTTAAAACACCAAGTATTAGAACACTGTGTTGACTACGAAACCATTTTTATTCAACATTTAAGCTCCCCACGTTGGGCTGTGGGAGTAGCTCAGAAGTGTAGCTGGTACAGCACTTGCCTCGCATGTGTGAAGCCCTAGGTTCCATCCTCATCACCAAAAACAATTCCCCTGCCCAGGCAACTAGTTCATGTTGTAAACCAAATGCATTACTTTATGATATCAAAATGCCTTTCATATTATTCGCATCTTAGAGAAACATTCTAATTAAAGTCCAGCGTTTCAAACATACAGAGTTGATTAATGGCAAAAAAAGTATAAAACCTTAAGCCTTACATGAGAGTAAATCATGCCAATTTCCATTATAAACCTTGATAAATAGTGCCATCTTCTGTAGAAATGTGGTATTACAGTCCAACTTCAATTGATCTTTTTTAGAGAGGAAAGGACAAGAGGAATAAATATCTAAGAACTGATGAGTGGAATCATGGAAAAATACCTGTGATCCAAAGGCTGTGATGATACTGGTAAGAGACAAGAGAACTCTAAGCACACAAAACCCTGGTTCCTACTACCATACAAATCTCCACACTCACGGGCACCAAGGTTTTTAGCTGGAGAAGATAGCCACTCATTTAATGCAGGCTAATAAAGAAGTTCCATTTAAGAGTGACAGAACAGTCAACTTGCTGGAATATAGTTATAAGTGCCCAAATCATAGAAATGAAGTGCATGAATCAATGACCTGACCTGGGTGCCCATGGAAACTGCACTGAACTCGCTCCCTCCCCTCCTGTGTGGACAAGCCTCCTGCTGCATTCTTTTACTAAGTGTATCTTCCATGCCTGATCTTCAATTATGGTGATGTGTGGGATGACACGAGCGGGTAAGGGGAGAGACCCCCCTCCACAGTTGCTCTATCCACCCCTCTACCATCTCTTCTCACTCCTCCCAGCCACAGCTATCCTTAACTCAGGGTGTCAGCTACCTCCAATTCCTAGAGAAGCTCTTTCGGGTTACAAATACATACCCTTAACACCTGTCTGCCTCTCACAGTTTAGGTGAAAAAAATGAGGATAGTAGGAAAGAACTTTATTTATTTTCCCTTGTCCATTCCCAGGAATTTGAATGCCTCTAGAAAGCAACGAGAACTCCAGTTTTGGGGCTGGGGTTGTAGCTCAGTGGTAGATCAAGTACCTATCATTCAGGAGGCCCCCGGGTTTTCATTTTCTCAGCACCAAAAAAAAACTTTTTTACTTGTCTAACAACTTTCCTTCCTGAGGCTGCATTACTTTTTTGTTCAACTTTTAGTAAAAATATTTCAGTTGAGAAAATATATTCACATACTTATCAACTGTTTCATTTTTCTGAATGTCACAGAGCCTCAGAGACAGAAAAGATCACTGCATAGAATATATAGAACTATATTTCAATGTTCTAAGGTGGATATTCAGATTTTAATGTCTCTAAAGTCAACATTACTACAACTGATGGCACCAGACAAATGTAACTGGATGATTTTTTCTTTTTTAGCAATATAAAAAATAGTGCTAAGTCTTAGAAGCATCTTTTTTTTTTTGGCTTTTCTCCGGTACTGGGAATCGAACTCACGGCCTTGCACTTGCCAGGCAGGCACTGTGCCGCTGAGCTAAATCCCCAGCCCTGAAGCATCTTTAATTTAATGAAATATGATATTTGGAATCCCCACATTATTTCCCATGTAGGCACTAGATAAATAAAATCTTGCCTAAGCACTCTGATTAAGAGTATCCAAAGTATAATATGTGTGTATATGTACAGAGAGAAAATTCTTTAAAACAGTAGATATAAAAGTGGCAGCAGAATTTGGGAAGACTTAATTCCTTTATAATTTTCTGCAGTTGCATTTTCTTAAGTAATAACCATGTATTTTATTAATGAGGAAAATACAATTTTTATTTGGAAAAAATAGATGAGTGTGTTAACATTATAATGCTTCTTTATTCTGGGAATATTTAATACATGGAGCACTGACTTAGGATTAGTATAGTACATCTGATTCACTGTTTCAAACCAGTCAAGATCAGTATGTAAAATCGTACTGACATCAATGTTAGTCATGCTACAATTTATAATTTCCACTTTATGGTTTTACAAATTAAGCTGCCTGGTTTTTAATATGCATATGTGAATACTTTCCAAGACAAGCTGTTGAATTATTAAATAGGTTAAGAGACATCACTTCAAATCAACAGAGAACATCTGTATAGTTCTCTTATTTCTACTCCTTAGTACTAAATCTACACAGAATTTTACATAAAATATTACAGGTTCTTTTATCTTAAGTAAAAATGTACATAAAAATATGCTTTACTTATGTTTAAGGCTTCATGCTTTTTATCAGCTGAATTTGGTTTAATAATCCTCTGAGATCTAAAACTAATAGGGAAAAAACTAAAACTAAATAATGGAATCAAAATGTCAAAATGGGCCGGGCGTCGTGGTGCACGCCTGTAATCCCAGCACTCGGGAGGCTGAGGAAGGAGGATCCTTGAGAGTTCGAGTCCAGCCTGGCTTACAAAGTGAGCTCAAGGCCAGCCTGAACTGCACAGAGAGAGCCTGTCTCAAAACAACAAAAAAAAAGTCAAAATGGGGTTGGGGATATAGCTCAGTGGCATAGTACTTGCCTAGGAAGTTCAATTCCTGGTACCAAAAAAAAAAAAAAAGTGTTTCTACCACTACAAATTGCTTTTCCAACTACAAAATATTTTAAAATGAAAAATACTGACTTCTTTCCCATTTTTTGCTTGTTTTTGCTTCCCAAATAAAAGATATTCTGAGACAAGGAGGGTAGCACACATCTTTACTCCCAGCTACTCAGGAGGTTGAGGCAGGAAGGTTGCCAAGTTCAAGGCTAGCCTGGGCAACTTAGTGAGACTCTGTTTCAAAATTTACAAAATGGGCTGGGAATGTATATCACTGATAGACTGATTGCCTAGCATGCCTCCCACCCTGAATACAATCCCCAGTGTTGTTAAAAAAAAATAAATAAATTAAAAAATAAACAGGAAAAACATTAGGCACATATGCTCAGATAGGAGTCATAAAGAAACTCAGATTTTGTATGGAGGTTGCTAAATAAAACAAAAAAGATAAGTCATTATCACGGGCGGTGAGGGCCCACTAGAACTCGAAGCAACAATGTTATTAAAGGTTGTCCAGCTGTAATGCCAACAGCGAGCCTGACAACTATCAACCAATGAATCAATCAGTAACTTCTGTTGAGTAGGGACCCCAGTTTTATGTTTAAGTCTTTAATTTAAGCAAGGCTTTGAAAAGTTAAAAGGAGCTTGTAAGTAGGAAGTACTGTCATAAATTCAATGGGATAAAGAAAATGTCTATGAAGATACTTAAATGGCTGCCCAGCAACCCACAGAGCTGACCAAAATGTAGAAAAACCTTTCCCATGTTCTTGCTTCCAAGATGACATAAAAAGAAAAAAGGACCAGTGGTCATACTGGCAGCCTACTCACTGTACAAACTGCGACTGATGGGTTTCTAAGGACAAGGCCACCAAGAAGCTCACCATTTGAAACACAGTAGAGGCCACGGACATCTAGGACATTTTCCAAGGGGTGTCACGTCACCAATATCCTTGTCTCTGCAAACACCTCTGTGCAGCTGTTTGCAAAGCTGTATCACCGAGTGATATCACTCACAGCAAGGTGGACAAGAGCTGAGCTTGAGAAGCCAAGAAAGACTGAAAGCTCCACTCCTATCTAGAACTTCTGTGCTGCCCATGACCTCCTCCAAAGCCCAGGTATGGAGCTGTCACTGAGGACTGAAGAAAAACTATCCTTAGGGAAAAACTACAATGGAAATCATACTTTAAAAGTGGAAAAAGCAGGCTGAGGACGTAGCTCATTGATAGAGTCCCTGTCTGGCATGTACAAGGTCCTGGGATTAATCCTTAGTATCAAAAAAAAGTAGAAAAAGGTCTAAGATTTGGGTCACTCAAATAGATGATTCACGGAGAGAATGAAGGCTGAAATGTTGCTAAGTGCTCTCCCTCTGAAAACAACTTGAACAAAGGTGAGTTTCTACAAAGACATCCTGTAACACTAACACGTGGAAGAACAAAGACTGGACTTTTGTTCTAATCGTTGAAGAAGATAGAAGAAATGCCTATTTTGGAAAAGAGAAAGTTACAGAAAACACAAAGTAACAGAACTAATAAAAAATCTAACATTCATACAAAGAAACTGTGGATAATAAAATTCACACAAATATTACCCTGAGTTTATCTTATCAAAGTGTCAATGTTCTATTGTATTTCAGATTGTGTGACAGGCAGAGTGACTGTGGGTCGAAAGAGGTTTCTACTTTCTGGGAAGTGATTTTTAACCTTATAAGCCAGACCTAACTCCAAATGATCTATGACTCTCCCCAACCAATCTAGTTCCAGAGGGGACATCCGTTACCACTAAGCACAGTCAGAAAAGAACCCCTAAGATACAACAGCAATTCTTACAAGAAGTTTTCAAGAAACACCAATACACAGCCAGGTGTGGTGGCATGTGCCTGTACTCCCAGCACATAGAAGACGCATATGGGAGGACAGATTGGCCTAGTAACTCCAGTCTAGCCAGGAAAACATAGTGAGATTCTTGTCTCAAAAAAAAAAAAAAAACTAAGAAAAGCATGAAACCCTTGCGAAAACAACGAAGTCCTGTAAAATAAGTATATAGTTTCTTAGATGAGTAGTGTGAAAAAGGTAATACTCACTTTACTATAAACTGCTAATCAGCATGTTAGAAAAAGCCCACTACAACTGAGTGAAATGAATGTGTAAGTAGAGCTTACAGAGCTGCAAAGAAAATATAGGCAAAACCAGACCTGTATTTTTAAAATTGTCTATCAAATATACTTACACAGTAGCTCTTGAGCCTGATAAAATCTACAGTCATAGGAATGGATTTATCACAATTTCTATTGAGTGCTTTAATGTAATCCAGCAGGTCGGCAAAGAATTTATAGCCCCCCTTGAGAACACAGAGAGCTACAATGTGATGGCCTCCCATCTCCTTCATCACATCACGAGCAAGTCTTTCAGTCCTACGGAAATAAAACCAGAGATTTAAAAGACAGTTCCACACATTTAAATTTGATAACAAATTACCTTTCAAGCACTAAGCAACCACTTAACATATTTTCTGTCCCCATAAAGGATATCCTACTTTCATGAAGCAAACTTCAAATTCGATACCTTCAAAAATCAGGTACACTATAAAATCTACCATAAAATTAACAGAGCAAATAAAAATAAGATAACATTATTAGCTATTAGATTGGCAAATTCTGATTGAATGGTGTAATACACATCATTAGAAGAGACTGTAAGGAAAACAGCATTCTCATATACCCCTGGAAACATTAACTGATAGGACAGTTCAGAGTATAAAATTGGCAGTACCATAGCATTCAGTAAAAACCTGCGCCTTGACCTAGAATTTACCCACTTGGGTAAAGCTGAGCAAGGGCTAAACCTTGTGTAAAAGGATGTTTCCTCTGGTACAGTCTATGACAGCAAAATAATGGAGAGATCTTAAGTGACCATCAATAGTGGGCTTCTTAAATCAGTTAGGAATTTCCATAAATGGAATGCCATGCAACCTACAAAATAAATGAGATACTAAAAAACAAAAAGCCTGCTATGGTAGCACATATGTGTAATCCCAGAACTCTGGAGTCTGAGGCAGGAGGATATCAAGCTTTTTTAAAAATGAATTAAGTTTACTGATACATTTTAGACATACATAATGATCACACTCATCAT